CACCCAACAATTTTTCAAGTAGGAAAAAGGCAAGGTCAGATTTCAGTTTTTGAAAGATCACCCCCTGCGACTTTTTAAAAGGTGGGCTAGAAGGGATGAATCTGCAAAGAAAACTCTAGCAAAAGAGGATGAGTATAGGTAGGGGAGTGTCTTAGAACATTGAAAGAAGGATACACATTGGAGAAATTGTATAAGGCTGAGCAAATTGGATTTGGTGAAGGAGTAGTGGCAGGAAAGGAAAAGATAGTTCAGCGAGCAAGACTGCCAAGTGGCAGGGCAAGGGGAATGACCAAGTTTAGTGGAGGGGCTCACCCTCATAAAGAGAAGTCTGAATCCATTGGGAAGAAAAGAAGATGCAGATTCCCTCCACTTCTTGACTCCCAGAGCCTTGGAGACAGGTTAGGCCTCCCTTTGCTCTCTCCTCCCCTAACGGGTCCTTGTCTCCCACTAGCTCAGCCCAATAACTCATGCTGCAGACTAGAGAGGCATTTGTATTGCCAGATTCTTCTAGCTAAATGTGTACCATGTGTCCCGCTAACCTTTACAACAGCGGGAAAATGTCTTGTAATTAACCAGAATATAAAGGATGAATGGAGCAGCCTGGCAGTCTCCTGTAGTCATTATCATTCGGAGGAGATGAATGTACCTAGTAAGATTTCCATCAACCAGTTACAGTCAGCGCTCTTCCCTTGGGAGTCCTGACTTTGTTCACATACAGTAAAAACCGTGCACAGTGTATGTGTATGACGTGTATGACTTCTTTTTTGTATGTGAATATTTGTATCCATGTGTTTACGTGTGCATGAATATGTACTTGTGAGTGTGCTTGTTGTAGGAGAAATGTGCATGTATACACGGGTAAGTGCACAGTACAAGAAGCAGCCCAGTGAATATTAAGCATACTATCAGGGGGTGTGCATTCAATTGTAGCCAGACCATGGAGCCAGCCCCAGGCTCCATTTTACCTCCACTGCGTTGATAGTTACAGAATCTTCTTTTCACAGACAAGTGGTTCAGTATAATATCATTGGCACAAGGCTAGTGGGTGCTCCATGAAAAAAATCCATGTACAAACATCATGAATGAGTACATCCCAGAAATTCTCTAGGTTCTTTCTATTTTGTTCATCTTATTGTTTTGACCTTCTTTTCTTACTGGGTCTGCTGGTAGTACACTCTGGAGTTCTGGAGACCTGCCCTTGTTCTCTGACCCTTCACAACCTGGTCTTTCCCAGTCTGTTGAGTTAGCTCTTCAATGAGCTTATTTCATGGCTGATTTCCCATGGTGCTGTACATTCCATGATCACTCATCACCCCACCCACCTGAGCAGACTGTTACAAAAACAGGATGGCTAAATATAACTCCCTGGGATTGCTCAAAAACTGAGACCCCAGCATCTGGAGGTGATGTCTTAATGCTAATGTTCCTGGTGATGTGGATCTTGCCTAGAGCTTACCCCTCAGTGAAGGAACTTACATGACCCGTCAATCAGCTCCCATATGGTGTGTGCCAACTGTAGGTTCTACCACCCCAGCGCCTGGGCCCTGGTCAGCTGGGCCTGAATATGTATCTTGTAGAGTTTGTGTTGTTGGTATGCAGAACCCTTGCCCAAAGAGCTGTGACTCCTGTATTTCCCTGGGCTAACATGATGAGGACAAAGACTCTATCTGTGGATTCTAATGTGCATCCGACAACCATGTGGTGGCTACAGGCAACCCTGGTGATGCAACCTCTCAAATCCAGCTCAAAGTGGTAATCACCAAATTCATATATACATTATGGAGCTCCCTGCAGCTTTTCAGGCTCCTTCTCACCTGGTTCTCACCTCGACAAATGCCATCCTATGCTAAGTAGCAGGAAGTAAAGGAGGAAGAACAGAAGTTAGCTCAAGCTTGGGATGCATAATGACATCATCCATTACTAGAAGCAGCCCAGTGAATATTAAGCACAGATCTACTAGGTAAGGCAGTCTTCCCCTGGGGAGGAACAAGTGAAGAGGGTGGACACAGAAATCAGAAGGATTCCTTCTGGGCCCTTGAGAGAGGCAAGGAGCAGGAGACTTTTCCTCAATGCAACCGTGAGAAGAGAGGAAGGGGAGGCTCCCTCTTAGCATCGCCTCCCCTCATGGCCATGCATATCTCACAGTCCCCACATCAGCCCCTACAAGGAAAAGCCAAGCAGCCTTGCCCCTGGGAATGGCCTCTGTGGTGCTGATCCCCTTCCTCATTCCCCATCCTCTAGTGACACTAGAGCCAGAGACAAGGAGACAACGAAGACTCTTTCTTCACCTCCTACTCGACCAGGTGCCCTGAACCATCTCCACAGACCTGACCACAAATGGGCTGCACTGGGTCATAGAGACCCCTCACCCACTGCTGCCCTGATGCTGGGGCACTAGGGGTTTCAGGCTCAAATTGTCACAGTGCTGAAACTGCTCCTGTTCTCCCAGGGATGGTGAATCAGAGGGCTATCCCCCTGCCGCACTGTATTAGCTAGGCTTGAATAATGTATGTTTCCCTACTAATGCCCTCTGTTTGATCATGTGTCCACGTTAGTGTTCATTGGAAATTTTCCTGCTGGATACACATGGAGAGTAATGCACATTTATAATAACAGTTTGAATGCATGTTGGGAGGCTATGACTCTGTGGTAATAACTGAATTTTATCAGGCATTCAGATTAGACAGTGAGCTGCCTGCCAGGGAACAAACCCTTGGGGAACTTTTTCATGTAGCCAGAGTTGGGGGACTGGGAGGCAGCCTTCCTTGCATATCTGATTACTGTGAGCTTTGATTTGGGGATTGGCATGTTACCTCAAGTCCAGAGCAAATACCTGAGTTTTCAGGTATTTCAGAGCCTGAGCTTGGGAGCAGATCCTGGAGAAGGTTGACAGTTTCCTTGGGATTGCTTTGGGTGCAGATCACAAGAAAAGAGGCTGAGGTTCAGTGAAGAACACAGCTGCTTCCTGGTTGTGTGACTTATAGCACGTCACTTAAACTACTCTGAACCCTGATTTGATTATCTATCGAGTAGGTATAATAACTACCAGTCAAGGTTGTTGAAAGTATAAGGACCAAATGAAATGATTCTAGGCATTGAGGATACACCTATGAATAAAAATTCCTGCCTTTGTAGAGCTTACATTGCAATGTGGAGTGACAAAAATAACTACATAAATGGTATAGTACGTTAGAAAGTTGGGAAGATAAAGTTGGGAAGGAGACAGGGAGAGCTGGGGTTGCAGGTGTCATTTTAATGGAGTGGTCAGGGAAGGCCTCAGTGAAGAAGTGGTGTTTGCACAAACACTTAAGGGAAAAGGGGAGCAAGTTGTAGAGATACCTGGGGGAAAGCCTTTTGGGGAATTGGCAGGCTGTAGCAGAAGCATGCCTGGCATATTGTAGGCACATCAGGGATGCCCATGAGGCTGCAGAAGAGTGATCGAGGCCAAATACAGGGTCAGAGAGGTCATGGGGAGAACAAATTGGTCTTGCAGGCCATCTTAAGGACTTTTACTCTAGAAAAGATCAGTTGCCACTGATGAGTTTTGAGCAGAGATATAATATGGTTTGATTTACATTTTAATAGGATCCCTCTGGTTCTTGTGCTAACAACAGACTATATAGGGACAAGGGTGGAAAATGGGAGGCTATAGTCATGAAGGGAAAGGTATCACAGACTTGGATCAGGATGATAGACAATGGCAATTGTGAGAAGTGGTTGCCTTTGGGATATATTTGGAAGGATTTGCTGATGGATTGTGCGTGGGTTTGAGAAAGAGGAGTCAAGAACGCTGCTTTAAGTAAAGAACTTGTAAAGTACCCTGGACCTGGCATATAGGAAGTGCCCAGTTACAGTTATTGTCACCACTGCTGGGTATCAATCTGAGCAGGGCTAAGTCAGCAGGTGAGGCCGGCTGGAAGATGGCACAGCGGGGAGCTGGGATTGAACAGCTGCTCCATGGCACATAACCAGAGACAGGGAGAAGCCGTTAGAGGCCAAGAGAATGCCTTGGGTAATGGGGGTCGTCAGACCAAAGGAGGCTAATGGGTACAGAGGAATGGCCTTTGGAATTATGGAGTTCTGGCTCTGGCACCTTTTGTGTGCTATTTGACAAAGTTCTGATGAACTGAGGACTAGGCTGGACTTAGTGACAGGGTCAAAGCCAGATCTGATCCATCAGGCACCCACTTGAGTCAGGCACCATCTCCCAGTGACCTCCAGGACTCAGCTTCCCCTGCCCATAAGAGGTTGGCTTATGTAGACTGGGCTTGACTTGGCTAGTTCGCTCTTCCCCCATGTGTCTCTTAACCTCCTGGGAGCAGCTACGTTGTCTCACAATGATGGCAGACATGCAAGAGGCCAAGCCTAATCTGGCAGGTGCTTTTAAGCCTTTGAACACATCAAGGCCTCCAAATTTCCCATGGCCAAAGCAAGTCACAAGGCCAAACCCAGAGTCAACGAGTGGGGGAATGTACTCCACCTCTATAATGGGGGGAGCTAAAAATTATATTGCAAATGGTGAGAATACAAGGAGCAGCAACAATCTGGGCCCATAATCTGATCTACCATACCCTGTCACGGCTGGCTCAGAATTGAGGTAGGAAAGAAGCTGCAGAGAAGCAGAGGTGGGCTGCAAGACTGCACACGTCAATATTCGTGAAAAGTTTGCTGAGGAGCAGGTTGAATTCGGTAGTTCTAGTGAAATCTCAGACATCTGTGAGAGGCTACCGGGGGAGTCGCAGAGCCCCTCAAAGCCCACCCGGTGGGAAACCACATTTTTGGCCTCCCCTAGGGGGCCAGCCTTGATAGTAACTTTTCCTTCATGTCTGAGGTCCTGTTGCACTTGACTGCTACCCTTGGAATGTCCCAACCCAGAGAAGTTCCTGGCTTTGACCCATCATGGAATTTTCCAAGGCACACGAGGGGATCCTTCTGGAGGGACCCTTATTGCTGGTCACAGGCAACAACTCACATTGTTTTTCCTCTTACCTCCTTTCTAGTCAAGAAGCAAATTGAGTTGAAGTCTCGAGGTGTGAAGCTGATGCCCAGCAAAGATAGCAGCCAGAAGACATCTGTGTGTAAGTGTCCGCCCGCCAGCCCGCCTGCCGGGCCTCTTGCTCGAGGTCAGACACCCAGGCACTAAACCATGGGGAAGCCAGATGATGCTGGAATGACTTCCCTTCAACCCTGCTTCCTCCATCCTGGGCTCTGGGCTTGGACGCACTGACCCAGCGGCCAAAGAGCAGCCCTAGGGCCTGTCCTTTGCCTTCTCCTCCTCCTCCTTTTCCCATTTTCCTCCTTTTTCCTCTTTCTCCCTCACTTCCCATTCGAACTGCAGTCCAGGGAGTCATTACTGCTACATTTCTCTCTTTATTTTCCTTTCGAATCACTTCCACCTGCTAAGACAGTCCTCGTTCGGCTCCTCTTTTAGGAGTCAATAACCTTGGGCTGGGATCTTGGGGGCTGCAGGGCCCCAGTTCCAGCTCCCAAGGCCAGATTGGGAAATAGAGGCAGGAGAATGACTAGCAACCTCCTCCAAGGGCCCCTGGACCTGGCTGGGCAAAGAGAGGACTGGGGAAGTGGCGGGGGTTGGGGGGGTGTTCCTGCCTTGGGCCAATGGGGAAGCACTGGGGGCTCTCTTCTTGGGCAAGGGGAGGATGACGTCTTTGAGAACATGTTCCTGCTACCAGTGTTGGGAAGGTTAATAGGGGTCTAGTTCTGGGGAATGGTCTGGAATGTGGGTCCCAAAAACACCTGATCAGGGCCTGTGCTAAGGGGCTTTTGAGCTAAAGCCCAGGAAGGGCTGGGGAAGGTTCTGGGTACCTCCACAAGACTGGGCTTGAAAGCAGGGGAGGTTTTTCCAGAAACCTTCCACTTTCCTTCTGGGCTGAGTGGTAGGGAGCTTTCCTTGGTCCTCCAAATGACTGACCTGGTTTTCCTTCTCCTTCCCTCCTTTTGCCCTTCTCCTGCATCTCCGGTCCTCTCTCCCTCCACTTTTTCTCCTCTTGCCACTTTTTGCTCCATCATTCTTCTCATCCTTCTGCTCCCCCCTCTTCTCTCCCTGCTTCTCGTCCTGTGCCTGACTTGCTCCTCCCACCCTCCCCATTCCTCCCCTTCCATCTCGCCTCCATGTGCTCACTTTCCTGGAGATGCTAGAAGTACTTATTGAGGAGAGAAGGACACAGAGTGGCACCGGTGGTTTCCGAGCTCTGTGCCGACGTGTGTGGCCGGGAGAACATCAGGGCAAGAGGCACTTTGGTCTCAGGCTCCAACTGAACTGAGCCTGGGTCGGGGATTGTCTGTGGTCTTTTGAGTTGTCTGAGTGGAGACAGTTGCCACGGGCTGTTGGGTACAGCTAGGAACCGGCATCTCCAGTCACCCACCCTGAGAGACTGGATGGCAGAGGGCACCGGAAGACCCTTCTTCTGTGCTTGACTAGAGGTTTAGGGGAAAGGACAGGGTGCTGGGAGAGCCCAGGGTCAGGCCAGGAATCTGCAGAGGGCTCAAGCCATGTCCCTGACCTCACAGGCTTTTTCTTTCTGTAGCCACAGGAGACCCAATGAACTGAGGCAGGCACGGTTTAATTTCACAGTTTGCCCTGGAGCCACAGGCAAACTTAAGGAAATGGCCCTGACTTAGGAGATCAAATGTTTATCCCAATTGTGTCCTCAGGTAGCATGTTACCCCAGTTACCAATGTTTCAGTTTTCACATCTGTAGAATGGGGATGCAAAACCCTACCCTGCCTTCCTCCCAAGAGTGTTGCCGGATCTAAGATGGGCCTTGTTGACCTAGGACTTCAGGAGGCCCACAGACTAGCCAAAAAAGTACACGTGATGCTGTGGGGTGCATTTTTCTGGAGACAGGGTTCCGGGTTTTCATTAAGCAGACTAATGAAGATGCCAAAAACTCCCTCAGGAAGATAAAGAGAAACCCTGTTCTAATGAAAGAGTGCAAATGCTCTTTGAAAAATAAATATACATATCTCTATCAAGAAGATATTAGCCTCCATTCTAAGAGTTTCCCAGAAAGAATGGGTGTGTGACTCCAGCTGCCTCAGACCCAGGTAGCCACGTGTCTGCAGGTGGCTGGCCCTCTGTGTTCTGCCCAAATTCCCTGTGGACAGCTGCCCTGAAGTTCACGGGGAGAGTGGACCCAACTCTCTACCTTTACCCTTGCCATTGGTTCTAACCACCCACCCACCTGTGACTCCCTGCATTGGGTAGAAGGCGTTGCCTTCCTGAGCACGTTGCAGCTTCTCCCTTACCATAGTGGCCCTCCCAGAGTAGAGTAAGGATTACTCCCCGTTCCTGTCCCTCAGTAGCCAACAGGAAAGCAATGCTATAAACACAAGCAGTTGGTTTTGAGTAGGCAGGGAAGGCTGGAATTAAAAAAAAAAAGAAAGGGAGAAACACCTCTTGCCTCCATAATTCAGACAGTAAACTGATCGCTGAAATTTAAGTTTGCTTGTTTCCTGGAGAAGCTTGAAGATCCTCGTGGGACCACTGTTCCCTGCTCAGTCCTCCCTGGAAGGGGGCACTGGCTGGGTGTGAGCCGCGTCACCATTGGGTTTGTGACTTTCTGGATGGTGCCTGGGTTTCATTTGGGGCTGGCTGAGGAAAGGGGAGGTGGTAGGTTCTGCTCTGTCTGTCGGGGGCTTGTGGCTTGGTGAGTGGGCTTTGCCATGGTCTCGCCTCTTGAATCCAGCCCCATCTGGGGCAGCCTTCTGTTCATTCTGCTTCCTGGGTGATGTCAATACTGAATGAGAGGGCAAGAGAAGGGGACAGGGAACTGCTATATGTTCTTCACATGCTGCGAGGGGGCTGTGTGGTTCCCATGAAGTGGTCAGCAGAGACTTTGGGATGGGTATGACTCGTGGGCCACAGGGTTGACTAGACAGGATCTAAAGAAGGTGGGTGCTTAGCTGGGAAGTCTGCAGTAGGGATGGATAGTTGTGAAGCTGTAGGCGGAACTGGCTTATCAGCAGATAAGGAAGCTGAGGCTTCCTCCTCCTTCCCACCCTCTGGGTGCCTTAGAGGACCCCCTAGTTATCTCCGTTCCATTACTTGCAAAACACCGAGGCTTCCAGGAAGCAGGAGCTTGCTCTGCTTTGGGAATGGCACTTCCGTCTTACTTTCCCAGCCTGAGGTGTCTGGACTGGTGGGAATGGTTCAGGATGTGAAAGCTTTGGAGGTAGAGGCTTGGCAAGGAAGGGGATGGGGGTAAGAGACAAGTAGGGGTAGGGGTAACTGGCTTGAACGTGCCATGTAGAATGTCAGGCAAAGGGAAGCTGCCCAAAAGGCTCTGCTCACTGCACACAACCAAGAGGATGCCTGTGTCTGGCTTGAGCATGCAGTCTGTCCAAATCCTCAGGTTCCGTGGCCAGCCATAGCCTGGGCTACCTGGAGGTTTAAACACGGTCTACTCCAGGCCTCTAACTGTAGACTCCCTCAGTGAGTCTGAAATGAGCTCCCCACCTTCCTTACTTCTATGAGACTACCTGCATCCTCACAGGTACCCAGGACCTGGAAATGCCCTGCTCCCTCTCCTCATGCCCTAGGTCCCCTGTGAGTCCCAGGCATTTTTTCTTTGCCACATCCATTCCTGCTGTCTCATGTCTAGCCTTACTCCAGGCTCTTGTCCTCAGCCTGAATGATCATAAAACTTCCCAACTCATCTCTAGGTAACTGGCCCACCCTTGAGCCAGTGGGTCTCACCACGCCTTCTCCCCCACCAGAACTCTCCAGCAGCTCCCCCTCATTTTCAGGATCAGACTCGAACCCCGTAAAAGTCTGATCTCTGAAACCTCACCATCCACTCTTCCTTGTCGCTCTTCACCCTCCCTCCTACTCTGGTCACACTGCATAACACTCATTCTCTTTCCAGGTTTCCACGTCACTCCTCGTGCCTGTCTATCTTTGTCATCTCTGTTGCCGTGTGTCTAAATCCTATTAGCTCAGAAGGCCCATGTTCGATGCCACCTCTTCCAGGCAGCCTCACACGCGGGTGCATCCTTCGTCCCTCCCCACTGTGGTCCCACAGTCTGCTTCCATGGTTTATGTCCTCACTCAACTGGAAACTCCTTGAGGACAGTGGTCTTATCTGACTACCTTTCACATTTCTCATGGTATTCAAATAAAGCCTTGTACACAGTAGGTGCTCAATGAATGCTTGTTGTGTACCTATGTGAGCAAGTGGGTGGGTGAGTAATGGAGTGCTTTGTTCACCTTATGGGACATTGAATGGGATTGGGGGACATACGCAAAGTCAGAGAATGCCAAATGCTGACCAGATGCCCTGGAACCCATCTAGAGGTTGCTGTTGGGATCGTGGGATTGGTGAGGCTTTGAGTGGAACTCCTCCGACCAGGCTGTGTGCCTGGCCCCAGCTCCTGGTCATCCTCAAAGCCAGGAATCCAGCCTCTTCAGTACCAGCATCCCGACAAAAAGGAACAGGCAGGGGCCAAAGGGTTGCCTACCCTCCCTACTGTATGTGTATCTGCTGCCCTGACCAAACTTCTCCTCTAGCCAAGACAACTGTGCATATGGTTTTTGTAAATAGGACTCTGGCGCTGGCAAGTGTCAGAGCATTGCACCACCTACCAGAACCATCACAGGTGCCATCTCTGCCTGGTGCCCTTGATGGGTGGCACTGGGTAGGGGATGCTCTGGTGACTGCTTACTCTGGCTCGAGAGGTATCTGATGGGAAGAGGCTTCTCAAAAGAAATGTCTGTGTTTGAGCTAAAGTTCCAGCTTTGAACTTTGACTGCAGCTTTCTCTTACATTCTTTACCGTTTCTGATCATGCAACCACCTTTTATTTAACTTTCTTTGGGTCATTTCTCCATCTGGGGCTGAGGTGGGGGGTTCATTTCATCTAGAGTCTCCACCCCAGATCTGAAGCATAGGCGTGGGTGGGAGGTCACCAGGGTCTGTGGACGGTCCACCTCTGGCTGCTCGTGTGGGACGAGGGAAGCAGGTGGTGGCTGGCATGGAGGGCCTGTCTCTGAGCCCACACACTCGTGATGACTTTGCTCACAAAGGACTTTGTTAAAAGCAGCTTCCTATCTTGCACATTCAAGAAACCCCAGGCCAGTAGACTCTGGCCACCCCACACAGCCCCAACAAAGCAGGGCCTCATTCTGTCTCTGCCTCCACCTCCCACCCTGAGACATTGCCCCAGTTGGTGCCTCCCTGTGACTGTCCATCTCTCTGTGTGCTGTTTTTTGTTTTTTGTTTTTGCCTTATAGTAACTCAGGTTGGTGTGTCCCAAGGACATAATATGTGTCCAGACCCTGGCATACCCGAAAGGGGCAAAAGACTAGGCTCGGATTTCAGGTAAGATCTATTTGGGAATTTTCTGATTGCAAGAAGGGTGGGGTGGCCTGGCTGGGAGGAAGACAGGGGCCGGCCTTCCTGTAGGTGGAAATGGAGAGGATGGCATGGATGTAGGAACAGACAGTTTCTGGAGAAGAGCTATGGCTTTGACATTCCCTCCTGGTTCAGTCCTTGGCACAGTGCTCATGCTTTAGTGGGGAGAGGGAACGTTAGACTGCCCATGTTATCCAGAAAACCTATGCACCCAGGGTACAAAGGGCCGCCATCTCAGCAATGATACGCCAGCAGGCAACTCGCGCCTGCAATAGTCTAGGAGACCATTTTCCTTAAAGTTTATGGCTATCATCCACCCACTCTTAGCTGCCCTAACTGGTGCTTACCTCCGAGGATCTGTGTTTTGCTCCCAAAGTCACCTTTTAACTCAATCCTAAAACCATTAAACGGTCTAAAAAAAGAAGATGAAGAGCAGATGTTCCTTCCAATGGAGATTTTTAGTGATAAAACAGTGGAGCAGAGATGAAGGGCCTGAAGGAAAAATAACAGGTGGGGCTTCTTTATGCAACCAGGAAGGACTCAGGGTGGGGCTTGGCAGGCCCAGGGATGGAGCTCACAGACACAACTTGTCTCCCAGGTTAGGATCCAGCGTCCAGTTCACCTGCAACGAGGGCTATGACCTGCAAGGGTCCAAGAGGATCACCTGTATGAAAGTGAGCGACATGTTTGCAGCCTGGAGCGACCACAGGCCAGTCTGCCGAGGTGAGGGTGCCCTGGGGAAGGGAGGCTGGTCAGAGAGTTTGGCTGGGCATGGAGGATTGAAGCGCAGCTCCCAGCAGCTGAGGCCCAGGCTCTCAAGCAGACTGGCTTCCCTCCCTCCCTCCCTGCATTTATTTACCAATAAGCATACTTATCTAGCCCTTTCTCAGTATCAAGGCCTGTTCTAGGATCAGGAGATACAGAGGTGGGGAAGATAAGCATTGTGGTGCTTGCCCTGTATGCACCTCACAATCTAATGGAGGAGGCACATAAGAAACAGCTTGCTGTCTCATTGAACAGATACTGAACCACACCTAGATAGGAAAGGAAGTCAGTCACCTTTTATATAGTCACCTTGAATCCCTCTATTATAACACACACACATCTTGAAACCTCTATCCCATGCCCTTGTTTCTTTCCCCATATTGCAACAGACAGACTTGTCACTTCTGCAAGAGTGTTTTTACCTGTGTAGTAATGACATGCTTCTAACACCCCACCTGGGTGTTTTGTTCCCCAGGGCCCTGCCACTACATCCCCAGGTATCAAATGAGCCAAGCCTGGGCTGGCCTAGCCCCTACCCCCCAAATCATCTTAAAATAACAGAGCCGAGCATTCTCCTGCTTTGAGGCAGGGCTGCAACTGCTTCTGTGGTAGAGAAGCCCCTGACCTCATCCCCCAGGGAACCAGCAGAGAGCGCCCCTGTGCACTGGGCTGTTAGACGGTCTTTAAAAGCCAACAGGTGCTCTTTTGAGTGCCCCTTTAGAAGAGAAGATATGTTGCCCACTACAAAGTTACATTCTGGATCCTTCTGATCTAAGAAAGAGATTCTTTGCCTCTCTTTGGCATATGCATCAAGATGAAATTCATGCAGAGTAAGAGGATCTAGGAAAAATAATATCTCCTTATTATACTGAGAAAGGGACAGAGTTGGAGCTGAAACCCATACCCTGTTGTTAAACTGAGTCTATAAGTAATCTGGAAGAGTGTCACTATACCATCTTTCAAATAAGCCTTACATCCTCATTCAACTTTGAGGTAGCCATGTTCCACAGTTTATAATGTTCTTTGCATTTTCACTGATTTTAGCTATATTATCTCAAGGATTCTACATATCTACTATGTTTTTAAAAAATCAAACAACAAAAAAGAATTCTTGTCATAACTCTCAGCAATTGGGCAAATCACCCATTTTCCCTAAGCCTTTCTTAACCTCTAAATGTTGCTAATAGTACGTACCCTACCCTTCTTCTGTTTAATGTGGAGATTTAATGGAGTTGTGAATGTGTAAACACTTTATGAATTGAAAAGCGCTAGAAGAAAAAAAAATATCCTCGTGCCAGTAGAATATGAGCTCTACAGGGCAAGGACTCCTGTTTTGTTCACTGCCTAAAACGGGGTGTGGCACGTAGTAGGTACTCAGTAACAGATGTTGAGTGGATGATGGAATGAATGATTCATTGAATAGCATACCACTCCAATGCCAGGGAGCCCAGACACCAGCTGTGCAGAGAGGCATAGAATTATCAAGTCTGAGGACCAAGGGACCCCTGCCCATCTGTGGTTTCAGAATTCCTTTTGAGAAGGCAGGATGACAATGTTTTTAGGCAGTGGTGGGATCTGGTCTCTTCTCAAGACCTTTTTACTAGAGTAAGGTTGTTCTCTTAATTCTCAAAAGATGACGATTGTTTACATGAACATGCCAAGGGTGGAGAAGGGCTGGTGTTTTGGCCTGAAGGAAGTTTGTAGCTGAAAAAGTGTGTTCATCATTTTCTCCAGTGATTTGGACCCACTGAAGTCTGAATTCTCTGCTGCATTGTCATTAAGCCTTGAGCTGGGCTTTTTCACATGGTCATCTCATTCCATCACCTGCTACTGTAAAACAAGAGGAAATCATGGTACAAATCCAACCATCATCATTTTTAGCTGGGGCCCTTGGGCCAATTTCTTCACCTCTCTGAATCTCTTTTTTTCCTACCAAAAAGTGGTGATAATAGAACATTACTTTGTGGGGTTACTTTGAGGGCTAGATGAAGCAGTCCTTGTTTAGAAGTGATGCAGCTGGAAACCATCATTCTCAGCAAAGTATCGCAAGAACAGAAAACCAAACACCGCATGTTCTCACTCATAGGTAGGAATTGAACAGTGAGAACACTTGGACACAGGAAGGGGAACATCACACACTGGGGCCTCTTGTGGGGTGGGAGTAGTGCGGAGGGGAGAGGGATAGCCTTAGGAGATATACCTAATGTAAACAATGAGTTAATGGGTGCAGCACACCAACATGGCACGTGTATACATATGTAACAAATCTGCACTTTTGTGCACATGTACCCTAGAACATAGAGTATTAAAAAAAAAAAAAAACGTGATGCTAGTACGTTTGTGAGGCTTACGTGCACACATGTTCAGCTTAACCTGCTGGGCGCTGTCCGCATAAGCTTCCTCTAGCGCTGGAGCAAACCTCAACCTCTGGTTGCTGCGGGCTCTTTTAGCAGCTGTCTTGACTAATCCTATTGCAGTCCTACAGTTTGGGAGTCACATGGACTTTGATCTACATCACAACTCTGACACCTTTTAGCTTGCTGGCCCTGGGCGGGTTCCTTCATCTTTTTTAGCCACAGGGCCCTCATTTGTGAACAAAGGAAAACAAAATCTTCCCCGCCTACTGATGATGAAATTTAAGCAAGGCATTTTCTAGAAAGTGACCAGTCCTGACAGTGGTGGAGGGTACATTCTCAACATGGGTTAACGTTCCTGCCTTCTTCTCTCTTTTCGCCCCCCTCCTATAGGCCGTTGTGAAGGAGAAAGAGAGACTGCTGAGTCTCCTGGGTTTGAACTTGGATGATCTGTCCTGGGCTTCCCTGATGGCCCAAGGCTGAGACAGATTATTAGAGTTAAGGCTTTCTTTATTTTGGCAATTTTTAAGGTTTTTATTTTAAAATCTTTTGTTTTTAATTAATTGCAATTACTATTCTGTGATTTTTGGGAGAGTTTAGGTGAACCCCACCTTAAGAATAAAACCAAACAAAACTCTTTCCATTCCAAGAAGTTCCACTAACAAGCAGGTTACCAAAAGATCACATTCTAAAAAGGATTTTACCATAATAATGGTATTATTTTTTCTTTAATGCAGTTAAAATATGATTTGATTAGAAATACTCATTTTCCCACACAATTAATTCTACTAAAACACGGGGCCTGGCAAATAATAGGTTCTCAGCTAATGTTTGAAGACCACCTGAATGAATCAGTGATTGAAACGAATGAACAATATGGGACTGTGCCCTCATTTTGAGATGTGAAATCAGGCATTCACAGGCCTTTCTTTTCTTTCCCTCCCATGAGAAGAAGTAAGCTTCTGATTTGACTCCTAGAAAATTTTCATCACACAAAGGAGATTGAGGGCAATGTGAAACACTGTTAAACTAATTTTGTTCAGCCCCAGGTACAGACAGAGTCCACAGATATAGAGCTTTTCAGACTTATTTTACATATGGAGCCCAATATTTAAAAATAAGTTTTTGCAGAACCCTAATAAATAAAACAGAAACAAGTGGAGCTTCTCTGATTAAAGTTGGGTCAGGGGATTTCTAGTCTCCCCTCCACCACCATTTTCAGTAGCCTTTGAGTCCTGGTACCCCTGGGGTTCCAGGGAACACTGTAAACCACTGGTATAGTGAGAGGACAAAATTAACAACCAGCTCTGATTTCTTCTGATCACAAATTGGTGTTGATGGAGTTTAGGGACTGAGTACCAGGCCCAGATGAAACTCTTACAGTTACTGATTCACAAAGTAAATAATTAACAGAAAATTATATATTATTTTTCCTTTGTGGCTAAATTCATATATATACACATACATATGTGTACATATACACATACATATATGTGTGTGTATACATATACATATATGCATATATGTATATACTCATATACATATATGCATATATGTATATGTACACACACACACACACACATATATAAAAATATGCCTCTGGGTGGCTAGAATACCAAGCTTGGGACTTAGAGACCTAAGTTAAAGTTCCAACTTTGTTATTAACCATGTGGCACAGGGAAGATCACTGAAACACTATGAATCTTTATCCTCATCTGTAAAAGGGGGGTGAAACAGGGGAAATATGGCACAAGCCAGGGTGAATTCAATGCCATGATAATTACAGGTGGCTGTCTTCTTGGTGGATTTCATTAGATCAGCTTTCTGGTTTTACTCCTTAAACATAATTGTTATCCAGAGTTCTATTTTCGAATCTCTTCTCTTCTTTCCTCTCTCCTCTCTTCTCCCCTCCACTTATTCTCCCTGGATGACACACACTGATTGTACTAGAGTACATGCCCCATTATTCCAGCCCTGAGAATGTCCCTGAGTCCCTTACCTATATGTGCTAATGATAAAGCTCTTATTTATTAAATTATGTATACTTGTATATAGCATTGCACTAGGCATTTTTCATAACTTCTTTATGAGTAAAGTGGCAATAACCATATTTTATGTTTAGCTGAAGCTTAGAGTGGGCAGCCAACTTGCCCAAGGGCACAAAGCTACATCTGTTGAGCTGAATTTCAAACCCTGACTCCAAAGGCTGAATCTTACTTCTACTTGAAAATTGTACCTGGACATCCTTCGGAGTCAATATATTGGATGGAACCATGCAGAACAACTCCCCCTCCACTCCCCACTTTTTTTGGGTAACTTTTTATTTTGATATAATTTTAAACTTACAGAAAAGTTGCAATTAATGTGCAAAAAGCTCCCATGTACCCTAGATTTAAACAACTACTTTTTAAAAGTTAGTGGAGAAGAAGAAAGCTAAGAAGAAATTCGGTCAGAAAGGTAGGAGAAAAGCCAAAAAGCATCACTGAAGCCAAAGAATATGAGTTTCACAAAGAGAGAAAGATCAGTAGTGTCAGATACTCCAGAGAGGTGAAGTATAATCACAATTGAAAAGTAAACATTGGGGTTAGTGACTCAACCAAGTGTTGAATGTTTGAACTTGTTTCTGCAAGGAACTGGTGAAAGAAGACAAGGGAAATGATAGACTTGGGCTAAAGTTTCTATTGTGATGGCAAACCGTGAATCTGTGGTGATACCACAGTTCTCCTGGTAGCCCCCCAGTCCCCAGGATTAGATAGAGAAAAGGTGAGTGGTAGAATTGATGGAAAGCAGGCATTTCACCAAGCAGATATGAGAGCGTTGAGGAAGATGAAGGTATTGGTGAGTGGTCTTGAGGTCCAGACTGGGTAGTGAGGGAAGAGGGGTCAGGTGAGGATCAATAGATGGGATGAAATGTGGGAGCCAGAAGGCTAGAGAGGCCTATGATGTAGGACAATGGTGCATTGAGACCAAAGTCATTCTGCTGGGAACACAGGCAGTGGGGGAAGGAATGGAATGACTGGGTTTAAAATCTGTGAGTTGAACTTCCCTGGCTCCCAGGATAGCAGGGCCCTGGGTGTGGCTATAAACGTGGTTGATCATGAGTTGGAGGAAGAGCAAGGTGTCAGATCTCATAAGAAGGCACTGGCCTCCAAAAGAAGGGGCATCTCTCCATTGAAACAGGAGGGAAAAAGGAATTGAGTACATATGCAGATAGGATTGCATTTTTAGAGAGTAGGACAAAGGACCCGCCTGCTAGATGGCTTCTGTTCCCTCCAGAGAGCCAAAGTCATCAGCTAAGAGTAAGGGGAGATAAGAGGAAGAGGAAGATGTTCAAGGGATGTCTAGAACACATGAAAAAGTCTTTGAGCAGAATGAGAGAGTGAGCTAATAGAGCTAAATGGTAGGGTCACTGGGCAATAGCTAGGATTTTTTTGAGATGAGTAATGAGTTTATAATAGACATTCATCTTCTTACTCGTGATTTTTTTCACAGCAAAACTCAACTCTATGGTGACAGGTATGGAGAAAGCAGGTAGAAGGATTCATTCCAAACTGATGTTTTCTAAGCAACTGACTAAAAGAGGAAGAAGAAAGGGACTTGGGACAAGCAAGAAAATGAGCCTAATGGTGGCCCATGGGATCAAAGTTGCATAAGGACAGAAGAAAAGACAGAAGGAGCTGATGGGTAGAGAGGAGATATTGCTGTCAACAGAGTGGAGGTCTCAGTAGGGAAAGATGAATTCTACTGGAGGTTCAGAAAACAACTGTGAAAGAAATACTTGAGAGTGGGAGCAAGATCTTAACTACAGAAGGCTGCATAGGAGGCAGTAGCGTAAGAGGGGAAGATGGGCTTCAGTCAAGGCAGTGGTGGGAGCAGGAGGTTCCAAAAGATGTTGCAGCTACAAGTAGGATTTGTTTTCCTTAGGATTGGTAGTGGGAGGTGGTTCCAGAGGACTGTGGAAAGGACTGGGAGGAAGGTCAATAGGAGAAGCAAGGGAAGGCAGCATGGAACAGGATAAGAATCAGATTTGGAGAGAAGATATGAGACCAGAGGCACTTGCACCTGGAGCAGTTCCCTTCTTTAGCACCATGTTGTTTCAGTGTCAGAACTGGCCGTGGATCCAGGTGGTAGCTCCCTATGGTCCCTCGGGATACTGTTCCTATTATATGGTAATGTCCAGAGGAAAAATGGGAGTGGCTGCAGAGCTCAGGCATGGAAGATCTCAGAGAAGTCTCTCCTGAAAGCAATCCAGAAGAACATTTGAGGGAAAAAGGCAGAGAAACAAAATGATATGTTCATTCATTTAGTAAGACATTGAGCACCTACCATTTTGCCTGCCCATCTGGGTCACTGTGATGAGCTTTCTATCTGTTGGTGGGATCCCATGGAGCTGGCTTCTCAGGATGATGTCAGTCTGTCTGTCCACAGAACCCCTGACTTTGCCCAGATAGCAGAGGAAAAAAGTAGCTAATGCTTCATTTTGAACCTAGTTTAAGGTGTTCTATGCTATCTGCAGACTGTAATATTTTAATTAAACCCCTCTAAGCCCTTAAAGTGGGAAACGCCTTTTTGGCCTGTTCTCTCTCATTGCCTTCAGCATGTTTCAACAGACTGCAAATATACTATCTAATTCTTGGAAACAAATACAAGATAAATTGAGTCTGAAGATGAGGGCTTTTGGCAGCAAAATCTGACTTTCCGGAAGAGGTGTAAGATGGTGCTGGTGGAGCTTTGTAAGGATTCTCTGCAGGGCTAGAGTTCTGAGTCCACAGGTCCTCTTTGCAAAGGTGGGATGAAATCAGGGCTTTGATTATCTTATTCTAATTTGTTTAGTAATATTGTCAGTCTCAAGTGTACTTGTGGGGGGAAAAAAAAAAACCTGTGTCAAGAAACTTCAGGAAAGGCAGAAAAAGGATCCTTAGCCTTGAGAGAAATCCTGGGCATAGAGAAACAGAATAGACATGGCGTTGGGAGTCTGATTATCTCTGGTCCCAATGGTTGAATATTGACCACATCCCAGGCCCTGGGCTGAACCTTCACATCCATCATCTCGTATAATTTCATCCTCACCGTATCTCAATGAGGTGGTATCATTTGTCCCATTTTACAGATGAAGAAACAAAATCAGAGAGATTTTCTAACTCATCCGGACTCAAACAACCAGCAAATGAATTTATATCCAGAAGGCTAAGTTCATAAATTTCAAAGCCTGATCTGGCTTTAACCATGCCACATTGCCGTAGGGCCCAGTTGTATCAAGTGCAATCTAGGAATCTGTTTCTCAGTACAGAACGAAAGGGGCAATCAGATATACATGGGGAAATAGAGTAGGGATTCCCCTGGGACTTGTTCAAGCTTGATTCAACAGATTCTTGAGCTCAGGAAAAGGGAGGAGCAGATCCTTTCAGTGCAGGACTAGAGTGAGAAGACATCTCCTCCCAGGAGGTGATGAGCTAACAAAGAGGAGGTAACAGACCTGACCCAAAAGCCCCTTGCAAATAACCCTCTGACAACAACTGCTCTGCTTGATAGTGAATGTTTTTCCACCTGCTCCCTCCACTTGCCATGGCCCTTCAGAGAGGAGGGGCTGTGTCAGACACTTTTTTCTCCCCAGACTTTTCCTGGCCCATAATAGGCACTCAATAAACGTTAGAATAAATGAGCTGAGCTCAGGGATGAGTGCATGAAATGAGAAGAGATTCATTATGTCTGGGAGCTGCAGAACCTGCTTCCCAGACCCTCCTAGGAAGGGCGCCCTGGGAAAGGTTTATCATGGCCCTTTCCACACATGGCAAGGAACTCTAGGATATTTGGCCCCATCAGAGGAAACCAGGTTTGACACCACTTTCATTTTATATAGTTAGGCTTGTTGAGTTTGCTCACTGTTTCTTTACTGTTAGGCACTTTGTCTACAATTAGGATAAATTGCCATGTGGGCAGCATGAGAACAGGCTCTTAGAACCTTTTATTAAAATAGCTGAACACTAACGTTTAAGAATGAAGTGGCTAGAACTAAACACACATTTTTAAAGAAAGCAAATACCTAGGTACAATGTAGTACCTTAACTGTTATCAATCACTACTTAATCTAATTAGTTTAGAAGCTATTTTAAAGAGCTTAATTAGATTAAGCTGTGATTGATAACACTTTATATCTACTTGAGTAGAGTACTTCTAATTCACCTTGAATCTTTATGCTTCCAGTCAAAAGCTGGTTTCAGGGATAAGCTGAGTTTGGAGACAGATTTGGGAAGCACTGAAATCACTCTGGGTGCCTGGCACTGAGCCGAGTCAGGGTCCTTGGCAGAGCTCTTGGGCACAGACATTCTGTGACCTAATGGAGTGGCCTTGACAAGGATATCCTAAAATTCCTCTTCAGGAGGACTGAGGGGGTCACAGAGGAAGGAACTGAGGGGCAGGAAGAACCTGAAATGAGGTCATACTCCTAGTTAAGCCACGTTAGATCCACACCAGCACTCAGCTGGTTTGGAGAATTGGAGTACAAATTGGGAAACAGGTCAGCAGAGTAAGGCGTGGGCTGCTTAGGTATCCACAGGTACCCGGGATCCACCTGGCTTTGTGTCACCCGACAGGTTCTGGCCCACACCCTCTTGACAAAGAGGAATTGCATGATCATAGTGGAGTTGGGTGTGGGGATAAGTGGGGCATGCAGAGGGGTCGCTTAGCCTGCCTTGGAAGTTCATCATTGCCTACAGAACAGCAGTCACAGTGCTCCAGGCACTGCGGCTTCCCTTCAAGCCTCCCAAGAACTGTAGGGGAAGGATCCAGGAAGCAGAAGGTTATGTCCAGGGTGGGAACTGTACAGATGCAGTGTCTTCTGGGCTGGGAGTGGGAGGCAAGAAGGGGAACTGGACCTAGTCTTAACTCAAAGGCTTGTCTTTCGTCTCCTCTGCAGCCCGCATGTGTGATGCCCACCTTCGAGGCCCCTCGGGCATCATCACCTCCCCCAATTTCCCCATTCAGTATGACAACAATGCACACTGTGTGTGGATCATCACAGCACTGAACCCCGCCAAGGTAAGGCTCTTGGGGAGCGGGGTGGTGTTCTGTGGGCAGGGCTAGGTTAGGAACAGTTGGCCTACAAGGTTTTTCAAACTCAGAACTTACTGGTGGTAGATTCTCTGCAGACAGTTCTTTTAAGTTTTTAAAATTAATATCGAGTGGATAAAAAGCAGAATATAAAATATAAGCAAAATATAAGGAACAACAAGACAACAAACACCTGTGCAGCCATCGTCCAGCTTAAGGGGAAAAGAAAATCAGTTACCTTAGTGATGCAGGTTCCTCACCAATCCTGTTTCATTCCCTACACCCTCAGAGGTAACCATTACCTCAATTGTGTATTTATTATTCCTTTGCTTTTCTTTATACTTAGCACTTAAGTGTGTATCCCTAAAAATACATTGCTTAGTATGCTAACATTTGAACTTCATATAAATGTAATCATGTATGTATTCTTAATCAACCTCACTAAAAATTATGTTCCTAAGATTTATCTAAGTTATTGTATGTAGTTTTGCACTTCTACATACATTTTTTCATATTTATTTCCTGTTTAGTTTTTTTTTCCTGCACCCTTTGTTCTCTCTTATAAATTTTACAAGTGTGTTGCCAAGATCCACAAAATAACCTGTTGAAATCTTTATTTTAATTTTATCAAAACTACAGATTAATTGGAGAAGAACTGATAGATTTTTGATACTGAGTCTTCCAGTCCATGAGTATGGTATATCTCTGTTTAGGGTTTCTTTAATGGCTTGCAATAAATTTGTATAATTTTTTCCATTACATATTTTATGCATTTCTTAATATATTCACTCGTAAATATCTTATATTTATTGTTGCTATTATAAATCAAATCTTTTAAAATTACACTTTCTACCTGTTCCTTGCTGGTGTTTAGAAATGCGATTGATTTTGTACTTTGATTTTTATATTAGCAACTATCTTGTTAAAATGTATCTTGATTCTTCGGGGTTTTCTACATGGATAGTCATCATCTGCAAAAAATGTTGGTTTTGTTTCTACTTTCCAATCCTTATACCTTTTCTTTTTTATTTTCTTGCCTGTTCTGGCTGGAACCTCCCAGTATAACATCAAGTCGTTATTATGATGGTGACCCCTATGGTCATTGTTTGATATTTAATAGAATGTTTTTATTTCTTCACCATCAAGTATGATGTTTGCTGAAGTTTATTTTTCATTTGTAGGTACTCCTTTTATAATAGAATAGGGGAATTTACTTTCTAATCCTACTTTGCTAAGGGCTTTTATCAAGAATGGATATTGAATTTTATGAAGCATCTTCCTATATCTATTGATACAATCATATAATTTTTCTCCTTGATTCTCTTAGTATAGCAAATATTGCTTTTTCTCATGTGGAACCAACCTTGCATTCTTAAGATTAACATAATTTGGTCATTTAGTATTGTCATTTTTATACATGCCTATATTTGAAATTGTTTAGTAATTTGTTTCTATTTTGTTAGTGAGCTTGGCCTGTTATTTCTTTTCATATTGCCTTTGCCAATTTTTGTGTCAATATGTTGCTAGCTTCAGAAAATGATTTGAAGAGTATTTCCTCTATTTCTATCCTTTGGGGTTATTAGTGGAAGATTGGCATAACTTTTGCCTTGAAAGTTTGGTGAAATTTTTCAGCAAAACTATCTGCATCTGGTGTCTCCTTTGTTTGAAGATTTTAGACTATAGACTTAATACATGTAACGACTAAAAAATTATTTTGGTCATCTGTTTTTTTTCTTGACTCCATTTTAGTAAATATTAAAATTTATCAGATATAAAGTTATATATACTATCTCTTATTATAGTTATGATACCCGCCATTGTTGTGTTTCAATTTCCTTTTTCATTTCTAATATATATCATTTTTTAAATTGGTATTGGCAGAAGTTTAACATTTGTTAGTCTTTTCAGAAGATGAATTTTTGTTTTGTTACTATTCCTTTTAATATATTTATTTGCTAATTTATCAGTTTCTGCTCTCATCTTTATTACTTTCTTCCTTCTAATGCACTTGGGTTTATTCTGTTGTTCTTTTTCTAGCATCTTAATTTTGATGCTTTGTTCATTATTTTTCAATCTGATTTCAGCATCAAAGGCTACAAATTTCCCTCTAAGGACTACTTTGGCTACATACCTACAGATTTTTATAGTTATTTATTTTCTGTTATAGTTTAGTTCTGAATATTTTTTAATTTACATTATTGTTTCATCTTTTAACCATGAACTATTTAGAAGTATTTTTAATTTTCAAAGGATTTTTCTAGCTGTCTCTTTCCTACTGTTTCTAAATCTTGTGGTCAGAGAACATTGATCTTTATTTGAATCAGTTGAAATTTGTGCTTTTAGGACCGGAAATGGTCATTTTTCACATAGATTCTGTGTAGGCTTGAAAAACAAAACCCTGCATTTTGCAGTTTTTGTTTTCTAGTATGCCTATTACATCAAGTTTGTTCATTGTGTTTGTATCTTTTATATCTTCATTGATTTTTCTTGTCTTCTTGATCAATCGATGGCAGATGGAGGAATATTAAAGTCTTCCATTATGATGGTGGGTTTGCCTATTATTCTTTAAAGTTCTGTCAATTTTTGCTTCATGTATTTCGAGACTGTGTTATTGGAGTGTGAAAGTTGAAACTCAGAATTATATATCTTCCTGGTAAATTGAACTGTTTCAAAAATAATTATGTAGTAACTCTTTATATCTGTAGTAATGTTTTTAACCTCAAAGGCTTTTTCCCTCCATCCATTGCATCGGTTTTCTCTTGGTCTTTGTCGAATAAATATTTCCTATTCTCTTACTGTTAACTTTTCTACTTCCTTGTGCTTTATATGTGTTTTGTGGATTTTCAAAATCCCCTCTGACCATTTGTCTTTTAACTAAAGAATTTAGACCTTGTGAGTTATACAATCATTTTTATTCTTTGAAATTTGTCCTGAAATACTCTAGAAATAGCAATATGCCTACTTAATAAAGCCTAGCATTAAACAATAATTCTGTGTTCCTGAAAAACCAAGGATCTTAGGACACTATGACTTTAATCATTCCTTCCGATTCATACTCTATGGTGTGTGTGTATTATGTTACCTTAACTTTTCTCAAGTTATTATTGTTATTGTTTAATAAAGCCACTGTCCACTTAGATTTACTCATGTATTTACCGCTCCTTTTTTACCACTCCTTCTTGTACATCAGTCCTTTTCTTTGGAATATCTTTCAGTGCAAATACATGCTTTAAAATTTATTTTCTTGTCGATAAAAAACTCTATTAGTTCTTGTTTGTCCTTTTAAAAAACAATTTCAACTTTTATTTTAGATTCAGGGGGTACATGTGCAGGTTTGTTACATGGGTATATTCCATGATGCTGAGGTTGGGGTATGGATCCTGTCACCCAGTTTGTGAGCATAGAACCTAATGTGTAATTTTTTCTTTGTCTTAAAATGTCTGCTTACCCTCATTCTTGAAAGAATGCTGGTATTCATCAGACATTTGATTATCAGTTGATAGTTCCATTCTCTCTGCACATGGAAATATTCCGGTGTCTTCTCGGTTTCACTGTCAGTTTATTGTCCTTGCTTTGTATGACATCCTTTTGGCTGCTCTTACTGTCTTTTACTGTTCTTTAGTGTTACGTAGTTTCACCCTTATGTGTCTAGGTGTGAATTTTTTTTTTTTTGAGATGGAGTCTCGCTCTGTCGCCCAGGCTGGAGTGTAGTGGTGCGATGTTGGCTCACTGCAAACTCCACCTCCCAGGTTCACGCCATTCTCCTGCCTCAGCCTCCCGAGTAGCTGGGACTACAGGTGCCTGCCACCGCATCCGGCTGATTTTTTGTGTTTTTAATACAGACGGGGTTTCACCGTGTTAGCCAGGATGATCTCAATCTCCCAACCTCGTGGTCTGCCTGCCTCAGCCTCCCAAAGTGCTGGGATTACAGGCGTGAGCCACCGCACCTGGCTGGTGTGGATATTTTTTGTATTCAACCTGTTTAATTAAGTTTTTTGAATCTATGGATTATGTCTTTCATCAGCTTGGGAAAATGTTTAGCCATTATCTTTTCAAATGTTACCTCTTTTATTTTCTTGTTTCGTCTTCTAGAAGCCTGACAAGATATGTTCATCTTTCTCACTCCATCATCTGTGTTTCTTAACCTCTCTCATACTTTCTCTCTCTCATTCTGTTCATTAATTCTCTGTTCAGCTGTGTCTAGCCTCTGTTAGATTTATTCACTGAAGATTTATTTTAATTTCAAATATGGTTTGTACTTTATGAAGCCCTATTTGATTCTTTTTCAAACGTTCTTCGTCATATTGTCATGTTTTGTAATCTCTTGCTCCTTACTCATATGTTTAGATCATTCTTGAATTCTTTCAATAATTAAACATGCTTATTTTACACTTTGTGTCTGTTAGTGTCAATATCTGAAGTTTTTGCAAATTTGATTCTGTTGTTTCTCACCTCTTGCTCCCAGAACCATGTTTCCTTCTTTGTTTTATATTGTTTGATTATGTGGTTAGAAGGGTAAATTTTCTCTCTGGTAATTCTTTGAGACCTGGGTAGAAGGTGATTTCTTCCAGAGAGGGTTTGCATCTGCTTCTGCCTAGTGCTGGGGGCATTACTAGCCAGAAACCTCTTCACACAAAATTCTCAGTATGGAGGTTTCAAACCACCCAAGTAGTATGAAGGCTGCAAACCCATGTGAAAACTGACTTATGGTTATGAATTCTCAGCGGAAATATTGTTTCTTGTGTACTCAGCATCAAGGTCTAAGATAAACAGTCAACCTCCAGATCCACCCAGAGGGTGGTAGTGACAGGTGAGGAGGAAGATAGGCTCATTTCTAATTCACCCTCACACTGTGGGTGCACATTTAACTAGCCCTGCTCTATCAGAAGTATCATATTACAGTCGCCATCATGCTGGGCCCTGAATTTTGTCTCCTGTTCCCTCTTTTCTATGAGTTGCTGAAAACCGAAGCTATATCGACGAAGTTT